TAAATAGAATAACGTTCTTAAACAAGCAGATACCCAGAGAGTATGATCAATGTATGAGCTACGATGTAGGTAATTGGGTCAAATAGGGGTCAAGGCTCTTAGCAGGGGTCGTTCGACAGATTATTCTCTCCCGCACCTTGCATTGATTTATTACACAAACCTACCCTCTCACTTAAAGTATCAGTGTAACAACGTTGAGATAAAATATTCACAGAATAATATAAGTAAAATATTTTTTCTTATAAGCTCGTACGAAATATGTAAATGTGGTTAAACAACATCCTTGTACCCGTCTCTTACACAAACCTATGAGAAAAGTGGAGATAAATCGAATAACTGTCACGGCTGGGAGGCTTGTGATCCGAAAATAGCTGGGGAACACCGTGTGGACAGCTTTGTGCTTATGTAAAGTACCGACAACGTTGGTGTATGTATTTGTAACCGATACAAGCAACATTCTAGAGCGCTACCTCCTCCACGCTCTTTGATTTAACCACAAGGAAAATCTAAAAATCTCCAAAATTCAATCAAACTTCAAAACAAGGGAGTGAAAAGTTTTTTATCTCATCAGGATAATCATAAACGCCTGGTATTATATAAGTACATTAAATTCTGATTCATATTTCAGATTGCTAGCAATAAAGACAGATTTGTTTGTGTGTAGAGTTTTGACAGGCTGCGCGGGCAGCGTGCGCGCGCACTACGCCGCCATCTTGGCTTTCCATCCCATTCCCATTTCAATAGAGGAGGGAGCTCGTAACAGCTGTGAGCGTGAAACACAGCACTTCCCTAACAAGGGTTACTTTTTTAAACAATTCAATTGTTAAAGGACTCCTAAACGCACAGTTTATGAGACAGAAGCAGGAATACACGTTCTGTGCACGATAGTGTCACCGATTAAACAGTGAGTTACGAAATAACATTACCAAATTATCGATTTTGTATGTTTCGAATCGACAAACCTGGTGGCACCGTGTTTGAGGGTGTTTGTTCATATTGTTTTAGAAAGACAATCGAGTGTTGCATAGTCTGGAAAATAGGAAGAAAAAATCGATAGAAGTAAAATTGTCCCCGCTGTTGTGAATGTGAAAGGAGATAGCTGCAGTCGTGACCCCCGTGAAGTAGCTTGGTGCCGTGCGACTGATAAAAATAATAGTGATAGGCGCCCCTGACGTCCCTTACTCGGGTTGATATACGAAGACTGATAAAAGGTGCGTATCGATATTTGTTATGCTTTTTACTATTATCAGTCAGCAATCTGTACACTTGTCATTGGTTTCTATGTATTTTATTGATTACTGCTATTGCATATTAGAACTAGCGCAGGCCGCCAAAGGACACAAGGACATAGACGGTTTCAGTTTGATAACTGTACTAGAACTGTATTGTAAAGACTTTAATATAAATAAACATAATATAAACATACATTTAATAAATAATATGAATAATACATGAACAAGGTAACTACATGACAAAAGATTGATGTTCAACGTAAGGAAATAATCCCTAGGGAGCTCCCTTAGGCAAACAAACACGTAGGCGTTTACATCCATAAAACTACTCGCCCTTAATACTGAGTAAAGTCAATTATTTTTAATCTGTAGCATTTTTATGCTTTATTATTCACATCACGCGAATGAATCAGGATTAGTTTTAGTCGATAAACTGTTATGGTATTACATATTACTGGGTAGATATTTAGCTATGCTAATTATTTTGTCATTAATAAAAAACAATGGTATATTTGTATTACATTTAAGTAGACCCATGAAGTTAAGAGATGACTATTTATTGTAATTATTATACTACTATATTACTTATTTCTTTCAACTTAATGAACATACGTAATTATAAAATGCTACTAATTTTTTTAATTATTATTTGTCTGACTGGTTGATCGACTTGTCAGAAGAGTCCAACATAGTTTCGGTTTTGATTCCAATCTTGTAAAGGACGAACGGTGTCTAGAATCGTACACATTTTAAAAATTTGCTTTTAATAAAATTGGCTCGTTGGCTGGCCCCTAACACTTATGTATAACATGAGTGATGAAGATGTAAGTTGTCCATTTCACATGTGCATACTCCTTTGCGAGTGACGAGGATCACTCGAAGGATACAGTGGCCGAGTGCCTTATTTAGGCAAGGCAGTGACCTCTTGAACCAATCATGACTCGCACCAGGCCATGGTGCAAAATGAGAGAAACTGAAACGCCGACTGTTTCCTCTTAAAGGATACATGCTCCCAAAAAAGCAGATGGGGTGCGTGAGAAAACTACCCTTTTAACACCCCAGCCGCCCGCCTCCAGACGTCGGGAATGCGCGGCGATCTCCGGCTACAGTAAACGCGTCTCTACGAACAGCGAGCCAGGGTAACTCGCCACTTGACCAGAACCAAAGCTGTATGGTGCGTCGTGTTTCGTTCGCCGTACGCTAGAGCCATCAGCTCACTAGGGCCGATGTCCAGATAGGGCAGAAGAACGGGTTGGTTTTTAGACAGTTAAAATCTGGCTCTCTCTCTCTCTCTCTCTCTCTCTCCAACTGCGGCTGAAGAGAATCTCCATTCAATGTGGAGATACTTTCTTTCTTCTTCAACAAAAAAAAAAATACGTAAAAAATACGTAAATAATTTAAAACGAACTTTAATAAAAGACGACTTGATTCTTTTAAACAAAACATGTTTCACCCATAAAAGTGATACAATGTGAGAAAAAATAAAGCGAGAAATTAAATTGTAATTTTCTGAGAATAAAACATGATACATCCCATCTTCCCAACAGTACATGGTTACTAAGAGAAATGGGTCATTAAGCTATTTATAGGTGTGGTTCTTTGAACAAAGTAACATTATAAGATAGGTTACCTACTGTGTGTAGGCGAACCTAGTTGAGAAATATTAACACAAGGCTCCTTCTAGAAACAATAATTTTATTGGAAGCGAAATTTTAAATATTTTGAATGTCGGAATCCCAATATAGATGATGATACGAAAATGTAATAATACTCATTCAAGCTAATTTAGTCTAGTCGAGTTTAGCCTTTCTTCGAACCTTTTTGATAGAGACAAATACGAATAGATTTTTTATATAAATCTCCAAATCAAAGTTGAAGAACCTCAACGGTATTCCCACAAGACCTACTCCAAAATTCATGATGATCAATCAATCAACGAACGTATTGATTCAAAAGTTTTGATTTGAAAAATTGTGTTTGAATAAAGAAAACTAAAAAAGATTTTAACAAGAAAGAATTTATTGTGGACTTTTGTATTTAACATATTGTTTTACGCGAGTGTTTAGATTTATCGATAAATTAAATATAAAAAAACTGGCTAAAACATTTTCAAATAGGTGGTGAAATTTAGTTGAACTTTTGCCACAACGTCAGAGAGTTGTTTATAAACCGAATCAAGAGAGGTATTTTGGTTAGTAAATACTTTGAAAATGTATTTATTAACCGAACTTAAAATGTACTATGGATAAGGATTAGTCAATAAAATCCATTCAAATGACGTCATAGGCGAAATCCCCTAATCGCTTTTACAATTCTCGCCCACTGGCAGAGCTGTGGGGCTTATCCTTGGCTGGGAGCAACTCGATAGCTGTCCTATAGTAGTATATACATGGCACCAAATGCTCAATACTGGCCATATAAAATATATACGGTATTTAACTACCGTAAATGGCTACAAACGGTATTAACACATCATGAATTTATGCTTTCCACCACGAAGTAAAAGTTCTGAATAAAAAATGGCTGCCTGCATACCTACCCTTGTACTGAAACCTTCACTCAGTTGCTACAAACTTTCAGAGAATCTGATTTATCTCGTTGAAGTATGAACGTTCGAGGAAATTTGTTCTAGATTATTCGAGATATTTGTTATTGACTACGTTTTACTGGCGCTTCCCTTCGTTGAGAGTTCTTCGTGATTCTGAGAAACTAGGTGACCTAGCTAAGATAATATATTTTATGGGTTTTTGCATATTGCTATTATATAACTTTCTCATAACTGTTGTCCTTATACTGGATACATGATAAACTTGGATCTAGTCTTATAACTTTATAACTACCATACAGACACAAATAAAATATCTGACTGCGTTAGTTTCGTGGCGTATCCCAACAAGTAACCACACAGTGGCTTTAATTGAAGGGCGTACAAAGGACCACCCACGCGTTATCTTATTGATGTCATAACATCCAGTTAATAGGCGTAGATGAAATCATCTCAGTAGAGCAGTGACGCCAACCACGTCTTGAATAAAACGTAGACTTGTTTGAATATTACTGCTTCACACCACATTGAACGAGGAAACCAAGCAGAAAATGCTTGAATTATAGATCTCTCTTTGCTCGAGGATGCTCTAAAAAGTCTTTTAAAGCAGAGCTCGAAAATGAGCTTTATATAATCAACTGCTGTCTATTTTCTGTCAGATTTTCCAGTGCATTTTACTCGTTGGTTTTTTGTTGTGGCTCATTTCAGTTCGTCCTGGTTTCTTTCAGCACTAATTGGCCTCGTCAGCCAATTAGAGTGGGAATTTCAAATCGTTGAATAGAGTGTTTAGGAACTTCAAGTGAGTTCACTAGGCCAATTACGCCATACTTTTATGTCAATGATTGGCTGATAACTAACTAAATTGCGCTTATCTCTCGCACAACTTGACTCTGTCTAGGACACACTAAAATTGCCCTATCGGTAGGATGTGCCGATACGGTGGCATTATCTAAAAGTCATTTTTGTTTCCCGGCTTTGCATAGTTTAATGACCGAGGCTAAACAAAAATAAACGGTATTGTAAAAGAAATTAAGTTTGATTTCGCATTTCATGGAAATTACTGATAAGACTTTTCGATGACTCAATAATGTTAAGCTAATGTGGGCTTACTTGTATGTTGGTACCAATTGTAGCAAAGTCGAGTTTTGCTAATCAATACTACGTATGGGAAACGTATCGTGTTTTGCATTTGCGATATATTTGTTAGTGCATTAAAGCGATGTGGCTGTGTTAGTGGTGACGATAGACAATATTTTAACAGTTTTATAATGGAAACGATTCATGAAAACTCGAATAATAATGTCGAAGATGAGGACGATGTACTATCGACTTTACGCAGAATATGTAGTTAAGTGTGAATATGTCGTCGTTAAAATTAAACTAAATGTTTTGTGCCACAGATGACTGGAGATGCAAAATGGCAGAAGGACGCGGCGGATCAGAACTTCGACTACATGTTCAAGCTGCTCATCATAGGAAACAGTTCCGTAGGAAAAACCAGGTAAATATATATATTATTTATTGTTTTCATCTTTAGTCACACCGTTTCTTTTTACATAATTTTATAATAAGTATACACAGTCTGGGCCGCTTAATCGCATTTCAATTTAGCGTTTGTGGTACAAGTTATTAAAACATTAATTTTTTAAATATTTCTAGAAACAGATTCCTTAGACTACCTACAAGAGCCAGAGATAAAAAAATAAACAAGCAAGCAATTTTTATTTGTTATGACTAAATTATAGATGTCTAGACAAAAAAATTGATAGTGACTGGCGAAAGGACTCAGCTAGCCAATCAGACACACTAAAACAGATTCAATGTCAAAAATTACATAAATAACGGCTATGTTATTAATTTCACACTTATAGAATGATGTCGATGGCAACCCTTTTATGATATTTAACAAACACTTATATATTTTGCTTCTAAAGTAAAGCAATGCCTGAGTTCAAATTATCTTCAAACGAGCCTAAAGATCAATATGACATAAATTTTCAAATATTTAAGCGCATGATATTGCATTTTTTTATGTGATAGGTCGGCAAATGGGCAGGCTTGCACCTAATGTTAAGCCGTCGGTATCGCCCATGGACAACTTAAACACCTGAGTGGCTTTTGGGTTAGGGATTTCAGGATAGAGTAGCTTAGGTATAGGGTCTGTCGAATGAGGGGTCGAATAGACCTTCTGTAACTTCAAAATAGGCACGACTATTACCAGTGGTACCAGAAACAACGTGCGTTGCTTAACGTCGGTTTTCTGGTTTCTCTTCGGTCGGACCGGCCCATTCGCGTCTAAGTATGACTTTTCCTTACTATAAATTCATTGAATTATTAAATATGCGAAATAACAAGTGCGAGACATTGTATTCTACCAGAACTGTTATATTAATATAAGTCTAAACGTTTAAGCATTAAACTCCAATTTATCACATTCTTAATGAAAAGATTACGTAAGCTCAATTATTTTCCTATTTTTTAGCTTGTTGGTTTTAACATTTTAATTTAAAACGGACTCTTCTAAAAATACCCGTCGCCTAACAATGTGGCTGTTATATAAAGGTACCTACATTGTATCATTTGAAGGGTCGTACGGATTCTTTTGATATCGCTCTTCCTACGCCCATTGTTACAGCGTTACCTACAAGAGATACTTATACTTACGTTTTAATTAATACGTTATACCTAGTAGGATACTGAATTTGTATACGTATGTATTAGCTAAAGACGATTTTAAATGAAAAAAATAAGTGAAGAATCGTATAGCTATATCTATATGTTTTTTTTATTATACCTTATATCATATCATAAATATTAAATATCTATTTATTCATTTAAAAACTTTTCTCAGTTTAAATGAGTCAAACCGATGTTCACTGCTCAAAAAAGGAACTCTTCAATTTAAGTGTTACAAATATCTATACACAAAACACACTTAGAGTAACAGTCAAATTATTTTATAGATTTATTTTTAGAGTCGAATTTTACACATAAAATATTGGTATCTACAGCTTTTTAAACATATTTTAAACTCAGTAGGTACATAACTTTTTAATAGAAACAAATTGTTTACTGTGTAGCTTATTACACATTGTAACTACCTATATTTATTTTTCAAAAAGTCGTCAGTCTCTCCGCTAAGAATAAGGGGCGTACTTATCGGATGCGAAAGTTTTAAAATTATTGCGGAACCGTAAAGACTTTCGGGTCACTTTTACGACATCAGTTTGTAATTAGTTTTGAGTTTTTTATAATAAAAATAAAACTTAGATAAAGAGTATGATGACCTTTTTTCTACGTTAATTGAATACTTGATTTTTAAATTCTAAAAAATATATCAAAAAAGACTCGAGGCATAAAAATGTCTAATATAAAGCATATAATATCGCAATTTAAATGCCTTTAAAAATCAATACTTTTTATTGTTTCATTGTACAAGAATCCCGGTAACTTTAAGTGTTAAATAGTTGATACAAAATACGTTCTATGAGTATATTCAAATTAATTCGGAATATCATCTCTTCTTCAGACATTGAGGAACAAAAAAACCTTATTTTTTTAATTTATTTATTTATTACACTCTGGAGGACTTCCAGCTTAATCTAACTAAAAATAGAAGCCAACATAAACTACTGAAAGCCAATTACAAGTTCTCACGTATAGTGACAGACTTAAAATTAAGAAGTGAGCATATCAATATTTTTACAGTGATTACAGCTTATTACACGAGTAAATTGCATGGATCAATGAGCATTAACAAGAAACCTTTAGTTAAGAAAAGAGAAAAAGAAAATACTAAGTGATGCAATTATTATAAACATTAATTATGTAAAGTGAAAATCCTTTTAAGAACAAAGCAGCAATAACTGCATGTTACAATTAAAGTTACTTTTACTTTGTAACATAATATTTTAATAACACACCTTTTAACACCCCTTTTATACATTATTTAATTTAGACAAACTGAAATAATCCTAAACTCGATACCATAAATTCTATTTTCCCCAAATAACAAAAATTATATTTCATTATTTTCAGCTTCTTGTTCCGTTACGCGGACGACTCATTTACTTCAGCCTTCGTCTCAACCGTCGGCATAGACTTCAAGGTGAAGACAGTGTTCCGTCACGATAAACGCGTAAAACTACAGATATGGGTAAGTAACTACATATTCATTATTATATTACCCTAGTGGTGACCCGCATACAATATAGATTTTTCTTGGAAAACCGCCAAAAATGGCTATAAGAATGTACCTACGTAGTTTTAAAGTGTCGCTTTATAAGTTGTAAGTTCCAAGTCGAAATATACATAGATCTATGTAATTTTATGTATTGCTAAGGACAAATTTAAATTTTATGTGCGAACTTCACTGTTAATGGTGTTTGAATTCTTGTGTTATTGAAATTCTAGCTGCCGTCCGCGGATTCGCCCGCGTTGTATGTTGATCATAAAATCATCCTATATGTTAATTCAGGGCAAAACCTATTTTCATACCAAATTTCAGCCTAAGTGGTCCAGTTTTTTCGTGAAAGAAAAACATATAGTATATCCATAAATTTTGATAAACTTTCACATTTATTAGTTGGATTAATATGATGACTAAGTTGTAAAAAAATGTTTATCGTTTTACTATTGGAAGTACGATAAAGTTAGAAGTAAACACGATAATGTATCACAGCCCCGACCCACACCAGAAACAGGAACAGTGTGATTTTTATTCAGTAAGAGTTTGACACTTCCCATTCAGAGCGGCAGAAGCAATAGGATGATTTTCGCACATCAAAAACATTACCCTCCTTCTTTGGCAGTCGGGTAAAAACCGTATTCAACATATTTGATTTCGTGATATGTCTAAAATGACTTAGGCATTGTTAATGTTTTACCATTGCCATATCTTTACTAAATACCCCCTAGATTGATTGTACTCCCAAGCTTATAAAAAAATTTGATAATATTAAAATTTATCACAAAGTTATCCAACACCAATCATTTAGGTTGACCTATTTAATATTAATATCTAACGTTTAACAGAAAATCATAATCGTTTTGTATCGTAAAAGGTGTAGATATATACACATATAGTATACATTAGGTCCGAATTTAAGGGACATTGTAAAAATAGAAAGGAGTTTTTGAAGAGCACCCTTTTTTAGCAAATATGTGAAAATATAGCAACATGTATAAAGGTACCGTTTAAAGTAATCGGCCTATTGCCGTCAAGCCACATCGAGTCGTTTTCCTCAATTGCCTCTTACCTCTTAAAGAGGATCGTATTTAATTAGTCTGTACTTTTCCTTTCGCTCGAGATTACTAAGATACAAGGTTGAAACGTGTCAGCGGCATACTTATTTATGACCTCGGAGAAATATCCAATAGGCGAAGGGAGTAATGAAAAAGATAGGACCTTTCCCGTCTTGATGGCTTGAGACCTTTACGCAGTATCTAGTTGAGATATTAGTTTAACCTTTATATTTTATTTATTATATATTTTTTTAAGTAATCCTAGACTTTTACTTTGGGTTCAAGTAGGTTAGAGACCTGGCAGCAATAGGCTGACATGGTTTTTGTGAAAATCATCAAATGTTTTCTCTAGCCCAGTGGGATGCGAGAGGGAGTGTGAGACTCTTACTAACTAATCCCCCTTCTAAATTCCCCGTACCTTCTCCTGCTTGGGGTCGAGGCCGCGTTGCCTTTTTGTTTGCCCGGGTAGCCATGGCTGAACATTAACTAGTGCTAACTTTTAAAAGCCTACCACGTCAAGCCCACCATGGTATTTCAATAAATACTTTTCACGTTAATACCCGCGTAATTATAGGTTGTAAAAAAAAGATCAACCCACCCGCGATCTATTGGCTCTTTGAGATGCGCGCGGAAAGCAAAGCGTCGTAGGTTGACGTGCTTGTTGTGTCTGTAAGATTGTGAACCGTTGAAATGTAGAAATACGTAATTTCATGATGTAATTGTAGGGAGTGTTCAAAACTACTCGACATAGCCCGAATTTTCTAAAGTATTATTATACGGCTTACAATTTGTTGATCTAATTCTGTAAACATGAAAGAAAAAATAAAAACTTTCGGCCCAGACGAGGAAGTTATTAAAGTACGATAAAGTTCAACCGCTCTCACACAAGGCTATAATGAAATTTCGCGCGAGTATCAACATAATGAAATTTCATTGAAACGAAAGAGGTTCTAGCAACCGAATAAAAATATAACACGATTTGTTCGTTGAAGTCTCTTCTCTCGCGAATGGCTTGTGACTTCATTCTACGTTATGTACAAATTGAATTAATTATATACACCTACATACAAAGTTAGATTTGTATTTCTATTGGAATCAAATCGTAAGAATTTATTATGTTTGCTTTAGAAATGTGTGAGGCAAAGTAATCACTGTAGGTGTAGGTTCTAAAGCAATTATATCAAAAAGCTATAGAATACTCATTCGTTAAAAGTTCTACGTACATACCTACCTGTTATTTAATATCTACCTTTTTCATTCCGATACACTTAATTGGCGTCGTTTTGATATACGATATACGATAATGAAAATGCACCTAATGGATTTAAATTTTCATAGTTTATGAATATATTCTACACTTGAAAAGCTGAAAAATTGCATGAAAAAATTTAAATGCATTTTTTGATTTGAAATGCGATGAAAATGTAACTCTAATCATTAAACAAATGACTACTTTTGGAAAAAGAGTCCCATGTTTTAAAAACAAAATAAATTAGCCTCAACCCCGGTTTCTGAAAGGCTTGTCAACGATAAAATTAACTAACCTCCTGTTAAATCTCTTGTCAAGTCATCTGATTGGTTGTTGATAATTCAGTCAAACAATCAGATGACTTGACAAGAGATTAAATTAATTTTAACATTGATCAGCCTTTCGGAAACCGGTGGTAAGCCTAACAAAAACTATTTTGATTTGAAATTGCCGTTCTGCAGTACTGGCCATTTCACCTATTAGTTGGAAGTTGTCTTAATAGGTACCTGAGACTGCATCATTTAATAAAGTTATATAGCGATTGGTGAAAACTAAATACAAAGCTGAATAAAGTTAGATTTATTGATACACATGTACAAATTAAACATTAAGCAACTTCAGCAATACCATCATATTATGACGAGTCATTGGTTTAAAAACATCTTTAAATTGATAAAATTTAAATTGATAAAACCATTATTATTGCAGGACACTGCTGGACAGGAGCGCTACCGCACCATCACCACTGCTTACTACAGGGGCGCTATGGGCTTCATCCTTATGTATGATATCACTAACGAAGAGAGCTTCAACAGCGTGCAAGATTGGTAAGTTGAAATACACTCTACTGCAAGGCCCAAGAGTTCAAGCTTCTATAGCTGTGTTTTTTTGTAAAATGTGTATACTTTATTTACTAAGGATTTTTCCATTTCATAATTCAAATTCATAAAGTTATATTTTGACTCATACTTTGACCTTGTGAGTGCTTTGATATCGACGTAATTCGATCTAGTGTGATTCCATTTACTCTATATTCCTATGGGGATTGAGTTACCCGTAGACCCATTTATTATAACAATCGTTACACTATATGCTATTGAAATAGTATCATATAAGCGGAAAATCAGTACCTTACTCAACTTTCAACTTGTTTTCCCGAAATAAACCTTCTTCCAAACAACAAGGAGACAACAATAAGAATAGTTCACTCCCGCTTTCAATGGCACCGTAATAAAAAGTTGATCGTAAAGGGAAAATATAGCTACCTCTCACCGAGGACGGACGGCCGGATTTTCCTCAATTTCCTTAGGATTATGTTACGACAGGACATGGCCATTCAACTTTTGACAAGACAATTTCTTGTTATTTTTTAGTTCGAGCCGTTCATAAAATAAAATAATTAAATTATAGTTGAATTCTCGATTTCACATTATTTTCTCGGTTTTAGTTTAGACTTGGAGCCCGTAGCTTAATTTTACTTCAAGTCAGTCAGCCTGTTGTTTAACTCGATACCTATTACTAATTTGAAGTGGCTGTGCTTAAAGTGGGTGAAGTGTAAAAAAATACTGAAATAATAATCTCACATTTCTGTTTCCAGGGTGACACAGATTAAGACGTATTCGTGGGACAATGCGCAAGTGATCCTCGTGGGCAATAAGTGCGATATGGAGGAGGAACGTGTGGTCAGCACTGAGCGCGGCATGCAACTTGCTGAACAGCTGGGCGTAGAGTTCTACGAGACTAGTGCCAAGGAGAACATATACGTTAAGGTAACTTTTAAAAACATGAATGTGAATTTTAACTTGCCATTTCCAAGCCTTCGGAAGGGTTACACCAACATTTCGTTGAGATGAGATCTTTTCCTTAAGTCAAGGTTTATAATGAAGAAAAAATAAATTTTTATAGAGGAAACCGATGGTAATTGTGTTTTATAAATTAAAAAAATATAGTCCGTCGAAAAAAAATCCAAACTTCATAAACTATAGACAAAATTAGGAAATAAATGTTCTGAGTTACTTCTCAAAAGTTAACGTCTTCTTCTCGAAGAGACAACTTTATCGGTATTTAGAAACAGGACCCAAAGCCCACGCATTAATTACGTTAGAACGAAGTGAGCTTTGACCTTAATTGTGACCTTATATATCAAGCCTAGATACTTAATTATGTATGACATAGTAGACTTTTATAAAAGAATAACAATTATAACGTTAATAAATATTGCTTTTTCGTTTTTCCAGGCTGTGTTCGAGCGGCTGGTGGATATCATATGCGACAAAATGTCGGAGAGCTTGGATTCCGAACCGGCCATGTTGGCAGGTGGGGCTCGTGGCCAACGTCTTACAGAGCAGCCACAGGGCAACTCCACCACCAATTGTAACTGTTAATGACTATACCGAGAATGTTCTAGCTTTTTGTTCCTTTACGTTCTAGAAAATTCTTTATACGGGGTCGTTTCTTTCAAAAGCCGATAAGTTCATTAATTCAAATATTCTTCGCATATATTTATTTTAAGTAAGTGTTTAACTAGAAAATTGGCGAACCCCGAGCATACTTGAAAAAGTATCTCTATCAACTACTTATGAGTTTTCATAAATTGTAACGTCTAGTTACTTGTTACAGTTTCATGCATAAATTTTAATTTAAGTAACAAAATTAAATAATTGTTAAAACATGTGTAACAATAAAAATATGTATTAGTATTATTAAATCTATAGGTGTTAGTTAGCTATCTACGTATTGCGAGCTGGAGTAGGGATCTGATACTTCTTTAGCTGTTAAATTTTATCTTTAATGAATTTGTGTCGTAAATTCGTTACAAATATATTACATTTTTGTAGTAAATGTGTTACATTATTTTATTTGTGTTACGTCATTTAGATATTATTTATAATATTCGAGATTTACAACGAGATATTTTAATAAGGATTAATCTTCATTATAGTGATGTCCGAATATTATATGCGCGATTATTATTTCTAAACTATACCAATCCCGAAATGTAATGTTACCATTTGGACCAAAGACAGATTAAAGTACCTATTTATTTACAAAAAGTTCAGAAGGCGCAAATATTTTAATAATGTTTAGTTAACTTTAAATTGTTATGAGGTGTAATATGTTTGGTGGTTACGTTTGGTACGTAGGTGCATGTTTTCCGCCTTTACATTGCTTCGTATATTATCTGTGTGGATGTATCGCGACTACACTTATTAGAGTTGTTACTTCATTATCGGTAGATTATTGATCAATGTTCGTTGTTATACTTTGGCGTAATCTTGAAGTTAATGTTATCTTCGGTGTATAACTTCATGTATGCTTCGATACCCCTTGGCCTGAATATAAAAGTTCGACTAATCAGGTATAATCTATTACCTAAAGTGTTTGTAAATACGTTTACCAAAGTGTATAAATAAATAATTGTATAGTATTATATCTACCTACATATAAATCTGTTTGTATTCTTGTTACCTCCTATGCTATGTTAATATATAACTATAGGTGTTTATTTCATCACTACGTTTAGGAAGTAAGTTAGTTCCATACTGTTTTTGTTTCAACGCATCACTCGTGTCACGTACTTGCGAGAGTCGAGTATCTTTTAAAAGTATTCATAGTGTCCGCCATTGTATCGGCACTATATCTATATCTGTAGACGACATAGACAATACAATTTATATCAAATTCTGTTGAGACATGAGCACATTATTTTTTTAGAATCTAATTATTAGGTAAATTAGTTAAGATATAATATATCGACGTCTGTTCGATGAAATATAAACTTATATACGTACACAATTTTATTAAAATAATGATGTATCTAAATCAGTGACTCGTACGTTCATCGCTTCTTCGGAACATTAAAAACTTTACAAATATTATGAAAAAGTACTTATGAAGCCAAATTTATGAATATGACTATTATAATATCGGAAACTACAATTGTATTGTACTATAAGTAACTACATTGATGAACATATTTTGATGGAATTTGTCTCTAGACTTCGTAAAAGCTGGCTTACCTTGCTCCTGCTGTGTTTCATTAATTGCAATAAGTATTATAAAAAAGGCTTTATTTACAATAACCTTGACTTTATATTTCTAAAATAATATCAAATTATCGGTCTATATATTCGTAAAATGATTATAAAGTCAATTTGACGAAATCAATTAAGAGCATTCTGTGGACCCAAAGTCACTTGATATAAAATTGTGTTTTAAACTAAAAGAGGAATGTTTAATAGCTGTTTAGGACATGGGAAACGCGGATTACTACAATATAATAATATATTCAAAATCAATACTCGAAAACATAAAATATCGAGTAAATAATAATGTTATTGTCATCTGAATTGCAGGATGTATGAAAAAAATCCTGTCAATGCGCTCAAAAGCACGGAATTTAATAAGAAATATATATATGTATGTATGTATATGAGAAGACGTGTCCCATGTCTAGTGAGTATATTATGTACTGGAAGGCGTATGTAGAGATATATGTATGTAACTAGCAGTGTGTGTGAGCGCCTTAGGGCGTGGGAAGGCATATCGTAGTGACGGGCTTTAGTAGCATATGTTTAGCATTTGCGTAGTTCCTTACACTGTTTTTATACTTATTTTCTAATACACAGATGTCTAAATATCCGTCTGGATTAGCTAAACTGCATTCGATGTTTTCATTGTCATTCCAAATTGTTGGCTCACAAAACTGAAATTATAATCGATTAGCTGTATTGGTATAATGTATGTTATAATTATTGTTGTGTGTTAAATAAAGGAATTATTTAAAATACACCCATGTAAAGATTCACGAATATAATATATATTATAAAATATTATGTGTGTGTGTGTTGTTTCTTTTGTGTTTATTATAAACTAGCTGCTGTAGCGCGGTTTCACTCGCTGCTAGGCTTCTACAAATGGTAATGGTAGCGTGATGTTTTATAGCCTAAATCCTTCCTCGATAAATGTACTAACAAACACAATAAGAATTTTTAAATGCGAACCTGTGGTTCTGAAGATTAGTTTGTTCAAGCAACAAACTATCCAGCTTTATAATATTAGGTAGTATAGATGTATATTTATTTTTTAAAGTTTATCTTTTAATGTCGTGGTGGCCCAAAGATTACAGCCCGGTTTTGAAAGATGAGGTTACGAATTTGAAATCTACAAGTAGCGATGTGACTGTATTTAAGTTATATGTACCTTCGCAGTTTATTTGACACCATTGACAAATGGTGAAAGTAAACACTGTGAGGAAACTTGGATTTCTAATTTCAAATTATAAATTTTGAAAGCTCCAGTCTGCTTTGAGCAAGCGTAGTGCTTAACACAAATGAAATGAAATCAGAATATTTATTACGTGAGTAAGCTGAAAACATAATAATTAATTTAGTATGACTCACGAAAGTTATAATAAAAAGAAATACATAGTTAACAAGGAAAAAATATTAGGTGTAACCTAAAAGTTACATTGATTCTATGAGCAAGAAGAGGCTTCCCTTCAGCAGTAGAATAGTTTTAAGCTTATAATGATGCTCTTTAACTTTAGGAGGGTACGGTTAACAGTGATTGAGTATTGAGTTTATGAATTAAAATAAATTATTAAGCACATTTATCATCATTATAAATATGATATCTTTAAAATAAATAATACGTTTCTTGCATTTTAGACTCAAGTAGTAGGGCAAAAATAAAACAAACCTAATGTTCTCTATTAAAAAATATGATTTATGGGTATTCTGGATATTAAGAACATTAAAAACAATATCTATAAAATCTTAACCTGAAATGCTTAAGGTATTCTCAACCACACTCGGATTCATTTAAGGGCAACAAAACACAGGCCAGGTAGTGGTTTTTGGAACTAAATTGTTACAAAGAAATAGTTTAAGTAATCATTAAATGGCTCTGACTATTAGCATTAATTACTAATCTTAGCAATTTAATATTTTCAAGTACCTATTTTTAGCGCTTATAATTGATTCGTAATTGTTTCATTAATCTTAAAATGGAAGAGAACTAATTGAACAATTAAAATTTACAGAAATACGTTCCGATAAAATTGCACTACAAAAAGCAACTGTATTATGTAGGTAGATAGGTATATTTTACCAATAATACCACTTTATTGTTAAGAAACAAAAAAATAACCTTTATTAGTGTGCTTGTCACATAAATTATGTAGCTGCAATATGATACTAGTTACGTAAGTAGGTCTGCACAGAACATACTTCGGTGCATTGTAAACTATATCACAAACTACTTAAAGCTATGTATTGTAGAATTTGATTATCTTTTAAAATAACTCAATGTAACGCCAGCTATGTATACAAACTGAAGTTAAGACATCTAAGTAACATTCTATTGGTGATTTTGCGCTTCCACAATCATCAGGCACCGTAGCACTTGTAGTTTTCTCAAAGCGATAATAGATGGCGTTGTTATAAAAATGCGAAAAGATTGCAAGGCGGTGTTCTGAGAAAACTTTTGTCAAAGCTTTCTTTGGTTACCTTGTTTGGTACTTACGTACATTTCGTTGCGAAGTTTTGTTTCTACAAACAAAGATATTCAGACCCAACATTTCTTTTATTTATTGCTTTTCCAAACAACTTTAAGCATTTCATTGTTGATTTCGGGTTTGTTTGAATAGGTTTCTGGGTTTTATTTAAGTTTTATTGATGTTTTAAATATAGTTATGCACGCAAGAACTGAAAAAATAACTAAGAAGGTAAATAATGGCATTAGAGTGATGAGTTATTTCTAAATAAAATAATTCTGTTCAGAAAAAGAATATTGTATTTATTACATTACCTATTAGAACAAATGAATGAATGAATATACTTTATTGTATACCATAATAATAAAAAACATAGGAAACAAAAACACAAAATATAGTACATCTGGCGGTCTTGTAGCTTAAAAGCAATTTCTTCCAGACAACCTTTGGATGGAGTTTAACTGTAGTAGAATTTGATACGGGCAGTTTACGGTGTACATATACATTATAACATAATACATTATTTAAGGATATATATAATGATAAATAAACAAATAAGAAATGGCTGTTCAAAAAAATTGCCTACACTTGTGACCACGATATGTTTTTATTGTATTTACATACGCATTGACACAGTAGGTAATTTATTTGTTTCCAAATCGCCAATCAATCTGCAGCTACTTAGCTACGCATAGTATGGTCATTAACTAGATAGGTACCCTTCGATCTTTGGCCAAGTGTAATTGACCCGGACCCGCTGTAATGGTTTCAATAGAGTAGGTGATTAGTTTATTTCTTATATTAATTTCATAGTTTTATGAGAAAAACCGTCCCCTTTCAACCTTCTATTTTTATTTCCATACTCAAGTTTATGCACAAGACTGTTAAAGTGTTGATAATGTATCCAATGATTAAGACACAGTCTTTATCTTCGTATGATGAAAATTGACATTAGTATAATACAAATTTAGA